ACAACACAGACATGAAAATAATGGGAAGAAGTTTATGCAAAGGAGAGCCCCCGAGTCTGAACAGCAACCAAAGCAACTTTCCCAAACAGATTTCTAGTGCAGAAAATGATTTGTAGACCAAAGTCTATAAGGAATGCAGAGAAGCTGCAGTCTGACAGCTGTAATCTTTTGGTCACAATTTCATGACAAAAAGACACCAAATGTCAAGAATAATATTTGATTGTAGAAGCAGCCACAATTGGAGACACTCATTTCTGTACATGACTTATTAAGGAAAATAAAGACCATTGTGATTTGATCCCAAGGGAAAAATTCCAGCAAAAGGGAAAGAGGTCTTTACTGCAGCACATTTGGGATTCAGTGATCTGAGTGCTGAGGCAAGCAGAAATACCTTGTGCAGGGATAGGACAATTGACAGTTCTAGAAAAGGAAAACAAATAAGAGATAACAATAATTTAGAGCCAATTTATGCTTTTCTTCTCCTGTCACCAAAGATACAGCGTTCAGCCTGAGATCTTCACATATTCTGCAGCCCATGATCCAGAGAGATGAACAGTGAATCATGTCCTCCACTGTCAATATGTTCTCCTTTAAATTCAGCCTTTAGTACATCCAATCACATGTTGAGTTTTGAGGTGTATTGGCCTGCAGAGCATCTCCATTATTGCTCTGTTGCAGAAAGCCCTCAGAACCTGGCCTTGATGTTTTATTTCTTTTTTCTCCTCATTCGATGTGAGTATCATTTCTGTTTGTGCTATAGCCCTATGGCAACTTGTTAAACAATAACAAAATTGTATAACAATGTATCAATGCAAAGAGTATGCTAGTGTGCCTCACTGTCTCATGCACACTCTAGAGAAGATAGCAATCATGAATGCTACCATACCTAGCCAAAATGGCACAATGTACTCATAACCCAAGCGGATCTAGCTCACTGCATTTGCAGATAATTCTGAAACTGAACTGCCAGTTAATTTCTAATCTAGTTTCTACAGATGAAAGACTTGGTGACTGGCCCCACTTACTCAAACTACAAAAAACTGTGCCAAAATTTACTATTCTACAGTTCCAGGAAAAAGAGAAGCTTAGAAGATGGTAGAAAATATTTTGTCTCCCCTTTTGAATTTTCAGGTCTTAGAGTATGTCTTAATTTCCTCTAATTACTTCATTAGATCAATCTCCACTTGCAAAATGCAATGATTTTTGGCTGACTATAAAATAATCCTTTTCTCTAGTATGGACAGCAATAAATAACACTCACAAGGAAAGGTTACATTTTATTTTCTCATCAGTGCTTGGAAGCAGTTATTTTAAATTCTAAAGATCAGTGACAGAGAGGATGCTTTGAATTAACACAGATGCAATATGAATACCCTTTAATCTTCAATTTAACCTGTAAATACAAGCACACAATCTTGATATGTTTCGCTTATATGCATCTCAGTGCTAATAAAAATATCTACAGAGAGAGATGCAATAATAATAATAATAAATCCCTTCCAAAAGTGCAAAATGACACAGAAGAGTCATAATGAGCTATTACACTGCAGAGTCTTGTTTCAATTACCCAGAAGATAAGGATGACTTGAGGATTTTGTCATTCAATTGCAAATTAAAGCATCACTTCATATGCAACAGGATCAGGCACTGAAATCACCTGTCAGGAGTTTGACACTTACAAAAGCTTCATTGTTTGGAACTCTTCATATCTTTTCCCACTGACTTATACACATTGAGGAGAATAAACTGCTCATTCAGCCATTAAGGTCTCAGTGAAACTGTTGGCCCAGCCTGAAATATTTTCATAAAAATGGAATGAGGAGAAGGAAGAGGGAACTCCAACCAAATTATTTAGCTTAGAATCAATAATCTTGCACTCAATGAACAAGATTTTAAGGAACTACAATTCCTTATGGCCATGCTTATTATAAATATTAGTTAAGTAAAATGTCACCACTCAAGTTATACAAACTGATTTGACTACTATGGATTGTATTCTGGTGTAATGTTCTTGGGAATAAGTAATCATCACACATCTGAGTGACTTTAAAATCTTGCTCTTTTACAATGGGCAATTTCTCTGAAGTCAAGACCACTCAAACTGTTCACATGACAACAGCCTGTTCTGAGATGAGGATGCATTCCATCATTTTGTCAGTTGCTACTGCTACTTTTTCTATAAAAATATTTAAAATGAACTGAAACAGAAAACTGAAAACAAGTCTTTTATCCACTACTGAATGTTTCCCAAGCAGCTCTTCTACCAAAATAACCATCCTGCTTTCACTCAAAAGCACATATGTAAATCTTTTCATGTATTCTGTAATGACTTCAGAAGTGGCCCAGTCCGTCTTCAAGTGCCCTCAAGCAAATGTAGGATTTTATATTTTGTCTCTTTTAATCCAGATGATTTCTCTAACTGTTAGAAATGGAAGAAATGAAGCAAAGACAAACCCTTCTCTAATGACTCATCTCTCCTTGAAGTGTGACAGACAAAAATATGTAGGGAAATCTATACCTAACCCTTGATTCTCAGAGTCCTGAGTTATCTTTAAGTTGAAGAAAATACTTGCTGGATTTTGTCCCTCCATTCCTCACTGATATCATAGAATCACAAGGTTGGAAAGAACCTACAAGATCATCTAGTCCAACTGTCCTCCCATCACCATTACTACCACAAGCTGCTAAACCATATCTCATAGCTTCTCATCCAGACATCTCTTTAACACTGCCAGGGATGGTGACTCCACCACGTCCCTGGGCAGGCCACTCCAGTGCTTGACCACTCTCTGAGAGAAAAAGTTCTTCCTTATGCCTAACCTAAACCTGCTCATTGCCTGGGAGAAGAGGCCAAACCCCTCCTCATCACAACCTTTCTTCAAGAAGTTGCAGAGTGCAATGAGGTCTCCTCTGAGCCTCCTCCTCTCCATTCTAAACAATTCCAGCTCCCTCAGCTGCTTCTCATAAGATTTGTGCTCCAGACCCCTCACCAGTTTTGCTGCCCTATTCTGGACATATTCCAGGGCCTCAATACCTTTCTTGTAGTGAGGCGCCCCAGACTGAATGCAATACTCTAGGTGTGGCCTCACCAGTGCTGAGTACAGAGGGATGATTATCTCCTTGCTCCTGCTGGCCACACAATTTCTAATGCAGGCCAGGATGGCATTGGCCAAACAACATCAAGAGAGCAGACAGATTTCAAAGCATATGTTTTGAGACTGGATATCTTTCTGTAATTACGGCCAAAACTACTCTACAAAATCCCATTTAAAATACCTGTGAAATTCAGCCATGCACCGGAACATGAACAGAAGAGAAATTGCTGTCAGTTGTATCATGACCAGCAGTGCTATATCATATTTTCAATGTCAACATTAAAAAGAAAGCTTTTTAGATTAAATCTGACCAAAAAAAAAAATACATTACTATAAAAATAGTATAAACTGCTTATACGAATTACTTAGCGAAACAATAGTAGAACTATACCAAAGCCACAAAGGTTTCCACTCATAATTCCAGAAATCTCAGGGGCTAACAACAGCAAACCTGAAATCTATAAACTAAAGAAAAATAGTGTAACAATTTTAATAACAAAAGCGGACCAGATTTCTTATGTATCTGTTCAGGCCCTCTGATTTGTCTCCTGAAGAATAGTCCATCACAAAACTAGCAATACATCATACTTGAAGGCACAAGACATAAGAAACACCTTACAGAAAATAAAGTACTCTTTCTCACCAGAAAAGTTTTATTTACAATGATGAAGCAACACAGATAATCTTTTTATCTACATTCTGACAATCTACAGTCCAGTCAGTCCACCATAGTGGACTCTGGCTTGAGCAAGCAAAGAATTACAAAGAGAATAAAGTGGAAAGACATAACTCTCACCATCTTCCCAATGTCCCATCAGCATTAGCAGTATGCTTAGTCCAGAATGGGAGAGTAACTAATATGAGATGAGCATATATGGATTTGACCACACCAATCTCAGTATATGCCCTATTGAGCATCTTGCAAAGTTCACACATCATTTGCAAGAGTAAGTTCTTACAGTTTTCATTAGTAAAAGGACAAAGTCTGCTCAAAAGAGTGTTCAGTTTCTTAACATGTTAGACTCCACCAAAATATTTTCTGACTTCTATTTTATGATGTCAAGCCTCATGAAATAAGCTAGAAATAAATTTAAAAAATTAAATCCACAAACGGTGCAAGCTGATGGCCAAGACCCTTGGAAAAAATCATCATATACTCAGAAGCCTCTGATGTGTAGTACCCCTCAGGCAGAGAAGCAAAGCTCGCAAATGCACTGTACTACTCTCACAGGTCAGACTTTACTGCAAGGGGAAGCTTTTATCAGTAAAGACTTTTAAAACCATTGTGCCTGATGTTTTGACAGTTGTCATAAATTATGAGGATTCACGTTTCCAAACAGGATTTTTTTCCCCTAAAGCTACAATAAACACTGAATTTTCCATTGAGAATGAATAAGAGAGGAAAGGGAAGTTCTGCATATCACTGTGTAACTAATGAAAGAAAGAAAGAGAGAAATAGAGAAAGAAAGATGGAAAGAGAGAGTGAAAGAGTGATGGAAAAAGGAGAGGAAGGGAGAGAGGAAGGGAAGGAAACGAAGAATATACAAACCAAAAAAACTCTGAATGCTGGCCATGTAAGTAAAAATTCATAAGAAAAAAAAAAAAACCCAGAATTTTCCTAGCAGGAAAGTAACCCTTCTTTTCTCATTCTTATGATGTTTTCTCTTTTGAGCCTTAGAGAAAGAGCCAGTGGTACTCCTAACAGTGCAACAGTTTTAGGAAAAGATATAGCCTATTTCATGACATAGTAATGAGCCACAGAAAAACAGATCAGAACTATCACAAAGTCTACAACTACATCCAGCACAGTTACTTTCCCGGTTTTTTCTATACTTCCTTTACTATTACTGAGTGCAGTATATCAAACAACATTCTACTTGAGACCTTGGTAAAGAAATATCTCACCTTCACATGATCGATCACATAATTCAGGAATTGATAGCAATGACAGCATGAATTGATGATTCTCTTCACAGCTTGTCTTCAGCAACGTAAAATGAAGGAAAAGAAAAAAATCAGGAAATCAGTTCATCATTCAGTGGAAAAAAATCAACATAATGAACAAAACAGAGGCATGGTTGAGAAGGCTGATCATAATCTAGCTCATTCCTAAATATCTGATTGATTGATGAACTCTTTCCAAAAATCTTTCTGCTCTGGTGTTTTATGGAGAGTTTTTCCATGTGTCTGTTCAATTGGAGGAACAAATAAAGTTAAAATTTAACTTAAAGGTAATTTTGGATCTCAAGAAAGGGCTCAGAATAATTTAAAAAATAAAATGAAAACAGCAGGTGTTTACCATTCTCTGGAGGAAGTACACCAAAATATTCCAGAGGAACATTTCAGAACACATGCTGACCTGTGGATGTGTAGGATGAGAAGCTTCAACTAGAAATCTTGTGAGAATTTCAAATGTCTACAAATTGCAAGTACTACATAGGAAAGAGTGTGTATAACTGGTTCAGTTTCACAGTAGCATGTATCTCCAACATCGCTATAATCATTCTGATTCTTGGAAAATATGAAGACAATTCTGAGAGCTGTACTGCATATGAAATTGACTTTTATTATTGGCTGTGAGAAAACAAAACATTTTATTGATTTTTTGTATTTTTTCTTACTGTTAGGTATTATCTGGGAAACATTTGAAAGTATAAAAATATGTATTTATCTGTGCTGTGAATTTTTTCACTTATATAGATCTGTATATTATCTTGTCACAAATACTGTCCACACTTCTCAAAATGTATTTGAGTTTAGGTTCTGTTAAAAAAAGAATTATTTATCACTATAGAAAGCAAATATTCTACTACAGAAGTGAAAGAATTTACTCCTAAAACAAATAAAAGAAGAAAAAAAAAAACCAACAACATAGCTACACAAAGGGCTAACAGTCCAAAAGTTTGTGAGGAAGGCAGTAAATTTAGCTAATTGTATCCAGTTATACCTCATCTGCAGTTGCCCAGCATTTTAATAACTATGGGTTTGTAAATACACTTGAAGCAGTAGGCAGAAACAGCAGTTATAAAAGCAGGCAGGTCAGAGGGAAGAGAGGAGACACTAAAGTATTTTGTTCTGTTTTGTATTATATACAAATAATGTCTTATAATTAAGTATTTATGAATGTATTAAGTATTTAAAAATGTATTTAAGAATAAGGCAAAGCATGGAAAGCCTTATCATTTAAAACTCTTCAGATATTCTACAAGTAAAAATCTTTGACTATATAATTGAACGTGCAAATTCCAAGAAAGAAGATTTTCTAAGACAATCTGTATCTATTTTATTAAAAATAATCATGCTTCCAAACACACATAACACTTAGGTTAGCACAAACTAGTAGACATCTTCATACCTACACCTTTACTCTTGATTTGTGATACTTTCTTTGATCAGATGATTGACTTCACATATTACTTTCCTTTACCAATAATTTCACTCCAGATTTACCCCCCTTTGACTAGCAGCACATACAAACATTTTTCTGAATCTTTATGATATATGATATGATGAGTACATACAAAAAGTCACTGAACGACAAAAGATTTTGTAACTATTTTTCATATGATTTTCAATAGCTTTGGATTTCAGTTTGATTGTATCAACATAGAATCTAATATTAGCATTAACTTAAGGATATAAAATAAAAAATGTCCAAAAACATTATATAATTATTATATAATATAATTATATTATATAATATATAATATATATCATTATTATATAATATAAAAGTGATAAAACCACACAGTGGGACAACACTTGTTCTTGGAAATATAGGACAAATAAACAAGTGGAAAAAAAAGGCTTCCTATAGAGTAAACTAATTTTTGCAACCAGATGTATTTGCTGGCAAATTCAGGTGAAAGGAAGACCTGTAAATCCAGACAATAATAAGAACCTCAGTAGTATTGAAGCAATGCCTTTCAACAAGGTAAAGCTAAATGGGGCAGTGACTCAAATACATCCTTGCAGGTATTTGACAAATATTTCAACCTAGCCATTACTAAAGAACGCTTCTCAAAAACCTAGACCATTTAAACTGTCATCTGTCTTGCCATTTTGTTACATAAGGTCAGACTTGTTCAAAAAGAGTTTAATTGCAGGAGCCATATAGACGATTGCAGTTTTTCTCTAGAGGTGAATATACCAAATTCTACAAACTCTCCAACAAAGTCAACCAACGCTTTGTAGCAGCCAGAATTACTCTTTGCTAGCACAGGATCTAACCATAAAGTCATAGAAGGCCTCACTTTAGTAACCCTGTCGTCAAGAAGAAAAGGAATTGAATAACAAATCACAAGTAAAAAAAAGAAATGTCAGAAGGCACTTCAATATGTAGATATACCTTCAGAAACATATGCCAAAACAGCACACCTAAAGACATACCATTGAACTTCTGTCTCAACTGGAATAGTACTTTTCTGACACACTTGTAGATAGTACAGGAAGCAGATAAGGTGATATAAACACCTTTTCCATACAAATCAATTAAAATTTGCTCCTAAATAAAAAATGCAGCCTAAAGAAAGTTTGAAACATGTTGATAACTTCAAGATAATCATAAAGATAACTTAGAAATACCTTAGCAAGTTATATAAATTCTTGACTCATCACCAAAGAGATGAATAACAGAAGTTCTGCAGTTCCTTTACAGTGAAGTATGAATTTCACTTTTGAAAATAGTCTCCTGCACAAAGAGAGTAGAATCACTAGGTTTGCCCGGAGAGGTTGTGGATGCCCCACCACGAAGGTGTTCAAGGCTAGGTTGGACGGGGACCTGAGCAGCCTAGTCTAGTATTCAGTGTTGAGGTTGGCAGCCCTGCCTGTGGTGGAGGGGTTGGATATTCACAATACTTGAGCTCCCTTCCAAACCAGGCTATTCTGTGATTCTGTGTGATTAGATATCCCTGCTGGTAAGTCATCTAACAATTAGAAACTAATGCATGTCTATTCTTAACAGCGATATGCAATTGCTCTGACTCCATGTGTCTGGGAACAGTAATTTTAAGTGTCTGTGTAAAAAGCCATTTGAAATTCTTGAATATTTCTGAGAGAGAAATCTACATCAATGGAGACAGAATTTGAAGCACTTTTGAGGACGACTGCTGGCTAATTGACAATTCTTAACACAAAGCTTGATCTACACCTGAAATGTATTGTTATCATTAAACAACAAAAAAAATACCACTACAGTTAATCACCAGTAATATGCATCAGTTGAAAGATAACACACCCTGTTTTTGGAATAAATAGAATATATCTTTTTTAAATTTTCAAACATAATTAAAATAAAATATATCAACGAAAATGCATTAAGCCCTCACCTGTCACAGCTTTTATTTTTGTATTTGTAAAAAACCACAGGATTCAGCAGGAAGCTCACTTGTACAAATATTTGCAATTTTCTTGCTGACAAAAAATGATGCAACAGAAATAAGTATTTTCTTAAGGCATATTGCAAGACATACATTGCACTTTTACTTCTAGAGATGGAATTTCAGCTTAGCACTAAAGTTACTCGTAAAGATTACAAATACTGGTATACGAAAATATTTCATTTGAATTTTTTTCATGAATGTCTCAATTCTAAAATATGCTAAAATATGTACTATTTAAATACATTTAGAACTTATGTTCCTCATTTTTATAAAATTCATTTGCATTTTCCACAAATGAGAAAGAAATCACTTATTTTCATTTCTGACCTTTTATTTTTTTTTAATTCCTGAATTCATTTTTATAATAAAAAGTTTCGTAAGTAATACTTCTTAAGGAAATGAAGGAAATCATATCAAAATAAAGGTTCTCTTTCATTTTTCCTTAGGAACATTTGTTGTTTTACAGAATTGCAAAATTTCCACAAAATATTTTCTTTGATATCATTATCTTTGTTAATAGACACGTTCTATTGACAACTGCAAAGAAAAATATATATACCATCTATAACAGTTCACAGTATTTTTCTGGATTTAATTAAGAATATAATCTTCAAACATTGTTTTTGTTCTCATGAATGATTTGTCAAGACAAAACTTTAGTTATCTGTGCTTTTCATAGCATTATTTGTATCACAAAATAAACTATTCACTAACAAGATTTTAATGAACAAAGATGTTCATAATTATCCAAGCAAAAAAAAAACAACAAAACAAAAAACAGGTCATAGCAATGAATACTACTAAGACCACTGCAGGAAGCAGTCTGCTAAAGACTTGACCAGAATGTAAGAACTACACTTATTTACACTCACTGAAGTTGCTTTGGAAATTGAAGTTCACCAGCCAGCACAGCAATTCCAGAAGTAAGAAACATAGCATGGAACATGGTTTAGTGGGAGCTATTGGGAATAGGTGAATAGTTGGACTGGATGATCTTTCAGGTCTTTTGACCTTGGTGGTTGGTGGTGACCAACCTTGGTGATTCTATGATTCTATAACTATTACTTCTTTTTCACAGCTGTAATATGTCAGTCCTCTGCTCCGGTATATGTAACAGAAAATACTTCAAGTATTCTTGGGAAAATTATTATACACTTGCATATTTCAATAGGGAAACTAAACTTTTGTTAAAAAGATAGGGCACTCTTTTCTTTGCATGCAGTGATGTATATAATATCCCATATACCATGGTATTTTTGGCAAGGTAGCTTAGACACTCAACATAATAAGATCATTTTAAAACATTCAGTTTAAATTCTTCCTTAGAATAATTATCTGCCTTTTTTCCACTTTTTTTGGCTTGCTTCCTTATTAGAATTGGAAAATGAGTAAACAGATCTCTCAGCATGGGTATGCAGAAATGTATTGGTTTTGCCCTAGAGCAACATGACAGAGCTTCCCTATAGGTAGGAGCTACCTTCAGCTCTCATTAAACAGCAGCATGAGCTGAGACTGTGTGACAACCTGCATATGCATCCTTCCATTTTCTCAGTTAAATTCAGCCATGGACTATGTGAGCAATGGCC